CCCCCCCCCCCCCCCCCCCGTGCGCTTGGAAGCAAGAAGGATCAGCAGACTGCGAAGCAATCAATAGTACCTCAATGTCAAACAAATCAAGTACGCATGCAACAAAAAAGAACACCCCCCCTACCTGGTCCGGTGAGAAGCCGGCACGTTCCGTCCCGGCTTTGTAGGAATGCGAGATCAACAGTCTAACTACTACGGCATGCACGGCTACGAGTACAAACCCCCTAGCAACTTTGGTGCCCAAAGGCAAAATAGAGCAAAATACGTCTACAGCAGTACCTGATAAACGATGCTTTCCCAGGCGGGCTCCATAGGTTCTAACCGAGGGTCAGGGTTGCGGAACCAGATGTAGTCAACTCCCACCTCCTCCCCGCGGTGATTAAGGTGTGTGATCCAGCGGCTTGTGTCGGCCCCGGGACCAAGCATGTCCTCGTAGGAGCACCTGACGGGCCAAGCGCAAGAGTAGAATAACCGGTAGACATGAACCACGTGAATGGTGTCCGGGATACCGTGTTCTTACTCACGCCTTGTGGTTTCAGGGGTTGCTCGATCCCGGCATCGTGTATTTGAACGCTCTGTGTGTGTGTCTCTCTCTCCTCTCCCGGTCTGGCTCCCTCTCTGTCTGTCTGTCTGTCTGTCTGTCTGTCTGTCTGTCTGTCTCTGTCTCTGTCTCTGTCTCTGTCTCTCTTTCTTCCCCTCTCTGTCTGTCTCTGTCTCTGTCTCTCCCTCTCTTTCTGCCTGTCTCTTCTCGCCCTCCCTCTCTGTCTGTCCCTGTCTCTGTCTCTCCCTCTGTACAGCAGTATCTCAGCAACGTGCCGACGACGAACCGCCTCCACCTCTTCTTCCTTCTGTCGCAAGTAAGAAAAATCACCCACATCAACCTACCCCCTTCTCGCTCCCGTACTCAAGCCCAACCCCGCTATCAGGCCGCGACTGGGAACCTAGGGTGGTTGACACGGACCACGACCGACGAAAAGAGATCAGCAGAGATCAGCAGCCCCAAACAATCACAACGGGGATGGCCAAAGCATTCGTTGATTTCAGACGTGGCAGGCATGTAGCTCGTCTCGCACCTGAAGCCTCTCTCCGCCAGGTGCCGGTAGACTCTCCCCGAAGACCTCCCGTTGAAGTCGCCGCATAGCACCACCGGGAGATGAGCAAGGTCGTTGGTCTTTCGACGGATGTTGAGCAGGGCAGAAGAGCAAACGGTCCAAAAAATACAGGCTTCAATGCGGAGCCGGATAAGATCCCGCCGTCGTGAGGGCGGGTCAAGCGGACCTAGCTGCGTTTCAGGTTCAGGTGTTGTGGTGCTGAACAGCATGCGGCAGACGCGTGCAAACACTTCGAAACACGTGGAAGACGCGATGGTTACCACAATAAGGGGGGCTGAAGGCCAAGGCGGCGGGCAGGAAGACGGGCGAGGGGGGTTGTCGCCCTTAGCCCTGGTCCGTACTTTCGTGCGAAAAAAAAAAAAGATGATTCCACCGGAGCGTGCGACGGAGTGCCCCCCGAGGCCAAGCCCAGCTGCTCCTCTTCCCGCTTGCGATCGCCTGCTTCATTCGCAACGAGGCTCCACTCGACTCACAACCATCATGACCACCACAACAAAATTCAGCAAACCCTTGCGTCGGGTTCAATCTTGTGTGTCACCCGCGTATAGCACTCCAGGAAGGCGAGGAGCTTCCGCAACTCCCGAATTCGCAAAATTTCGTAGGTCCTGGAGAAACGCCCCCCACAGAGAGATAGACAAGCAGGAAGACAGACGAGCCAGGGTAGCACGATTTGGGTGGTTGTGGGTCTAGTGATTCGGAAAAAATAGGCAAGGTTTTCATGACAAAAACCAAGATAGCCCCCTTCGCTTGTTCTTGGCAAAAAAACCGAACTGCCGTTTGTGCCGCGAGTGTTGCACGTATCTTCAATCCACGACCCTCCCGCGCCACGAAACACGCACACACACAGGCATGCGGTCATGACAACGGAGTCATGTCATCGCCAGCTAGGCAAGGCATGGCGAGCGAGCGACCGCAGTGACATCCCTCAGCGAGGGACACAGCCAGCTATTGTAGCAAGAAGCCTTTTCGACGTTTCCACACGCCACGGCTCTACTCACCTCGCGTGCGGGAACAGGAGATGGGTGTTGGCAACGACAACCTCTCGCCTGTCCCCCCCCCCGGCCCCTCCCCCGATGCCTAGCCGCAACACCAGCGCCACTCTCCCGCCGACGCCCTTGAGCCGCAAGTCCTACAAGCATAGCCGCAGGGTTAGCCAAAGGATAGAACGGGGGGGCGGAGTGACATCCTGTGCCCGGATACTGCTTTGCTCGCCTACGGTTGCCACAGGCAAGCTGCTGGTAACCCCGGCACATCGTTCCTCGCCGATGGCACGACAATAGATATTACATAGCAACGCAAACGCCGAAAGAGTAGAGATACACGTGCACATAAGAGCAGGGTCTCCACGCCAAAGAACCAAAGGACCGACGGGCCAAACGAATCCGATCGATCACACACCAACGGATGGAGAGCAACGTTCGCCACGCTTGTTGCCGTACCTGCCTGTCCAGCACCTCGATCCCCTCCTTGACGAAGCAAGCCAACCCGTCCCCCCTCGACTCCGTGCGGGGCAACGTGAACATACGGTACCCCCGCAAGCCTCTGCACCAGACAAGGCGCCACGAAAAGACGTAAACAAACACAAACACGTAAGAAACAACCACCGGGAACAGGCGACGCGAGTAACGATCCACCGCCCTACCATCGTGATGAGACGGGCCATGTACTCGGTTTCTCGCTATTCCGCGAGCAGCACCGCGATTGCTGTGAGGACCATGGAAACACGCCTCAAGTTCCCCGAGGGAAGGCGAGAAACGCTACACTACAGAGGGTGGGGACGTGTGCATCCCATGGGCTTTCCTTCTGCCGCCTCTCTCACCGCCTGTCCGCCTCCCTTCCTCCGTCTATCTGTCGCCGTTTTTCCGCCTTCTCTCACACAGCAGTACTGCACCCCTCTCTGTTTTTGTCTTGCCTCTCTGCCTCTGCCCTCCGCTTGGTCTCCATTTTTTTTTCTCATATTCTCCAATCCCACCCACCAGGTAGTTAGCGTTCTTGCTTGCCTGTTTCGATGCCCCGTGTTTTGTACACACTGGAAACCACGAGGTGACATACTTTCCACGCTACCTGCCTACCTCCTACCAATACAGCCTCGTGAAACGATGCACGCCACCGGGGGGCACAACAGTTACGGAATACCACAACAATCACGTGTAGCCTGGAAAGTACATGTATAGTGGGCGTCTCCCGGCTGGTGACGGGGTAGAGACAACCATTGCCGTGAGGACACACACATGGGCGGTGGTTGACACGGCCGTTTCCGGTATGTCCACACCCTACCTGTATACCTGTGTGTCTGCCGGCTTTCTTACGGATGCATAACACACGTGAACGGAACAGATCGCGCAGTACAAGACTGCTGTGCAACATTTTACCATGGTTTGTTGCCGGCAACAAGGCAACAACGCTTCTCATGGAGTGCCAGCTTGGAATCTCGCATAGATTATTGTCTACACCTTCGATACATGTCGACCATCTCCTGCTCAGCGACCCAGAGCTCCTGCAGGCACACCACGTCGCTGCCGACCCCCTGGCGAAAGAAGACGGACGGGGAAGAAAGCAAGGACACCGACGGACGAAAACGTTTCAAAGACGGAGGAAGCGGTATTAGGGGGCTGGCGCATGCGCCCAATTAGCATACGCACTGCCTTGGAGACACGGTTGATCGGGACTCCACAGATATGCCATTGCCAGCAGTAGAACGGCTGACCGGGTTTCCAGAGGTACATCATCGTCAGCAAGTATGGAACGTGATGTGTTGAGTGTGGGTAGAGGTCAGCATACCCTATTGGAGTGTGTGAAGCAACGCCGTAACTGGTGAAAGAAGCACCGGCGTCGGCGTTGACAATCAATATCTGTCGGAGGGCCTATGAAGCAACAATACAATCGCACAGCGAGTAGGCGGTAATGGCCACTGCTGTACACAATATAACCAGGTCAAGCCAGTCAGTCCAAAACCTGTTCGCCAATACGACGGAAACGGCTTCCAACCCGACCGCCTGTCGCACAGCTCTAGCTGCCTTGGGGGCCGTACAGTATCACGGCGCGTATATTTATTAGCTTGAGCGTCGTGTACCACGACCGTCACCACAACTTAGATTAGGTTGGGTGGTCTTTTTCCTCGTACACACACGACTCCTTGGTTGACACGCTTACTTCGTGCAGGCATGCGTAAGACATTGCGCTGTCGCTCGCGATGCAAACCACTGGTACGTAACTGCGGGAATTACCGGGAGGGGGCGCGACAAGCAAGGGGTGAACGTCATGTCCCTACGGACGCACACGCCTGTTACAATAGCTGTGGCATGTCTGTGGAAGCGTACAGCACTACCACGGCAGTGGCGTTCGCGTCCAGCTACTGCCACTGCTGTGCGGCGTCAATGTTGCTCTCTACCTTGATGTGTTTGAGGATGGCCTTGTGACGCTCGAGGTACGTTTCTCGGAACTCGCTCTCCCTTCCGTTGCCCACCCGCTTGAATATCGGGGCCAGAACGTTGAACGTCGTGATTGAAAGGGTCTCATCCCCACCGTCGCCGCGGTCAACTCTGTTATCGTCACTTTCTTTGTCGCATCGAACAAAGCTGTCGCTGAAAGTTGATGATCGTGCGCCTCCGCCACCGTTGTTGCTGTACAGACCGTTGCGAGCATCACTAGTCCTCGAGGTCGCTTGCCTGAGCGTAAACCGTCTACTTAACCGTTCACCGTGTGATCGGAGTCGATACGTTTCCATGACTGGCGGCGGCGAGCACTCTCGTCCAGACAGGGGCGAGCACAAGAACGCGCGAGAGATGCAGCACGAGCAAACGAGCAGCAGCAGCATCATCATCGCCCCGGCGGTTGCCGCCGGCATGGTCAACATGTTTTCCCGCGTGCTGGTGTTCGATCCGGAAGCTCAACGCTGCTGCTGAACCTAGCCTATTGTAACCTAATCCTGGATCTTAACAGGCAGCCATGGGTATGCACGTGCTACGCCTAGCAGGCCTAGACATCGCCACGGCAACTGGTACGTGGCAACGTGCTGTGGTTGCCCGAGCGGCGGGACCGGGGGGCGCCGTGGTTGTTTCCCGCATTTACGGGGGGATATCATACGTAGGGCCCCCATTCCTTCGAAATCTCCGGCGCCCAGTAGACCTCACCCCTTTGTCGAGAAAGTAAACTTATAGGAATATTCTTGGATTGTATTCTGGTTCTGGAGGGTGGTTCTCTCTCCGCCGGTCACTGGTCGGTCAGAGAGGGTTCGCCGACTGCTGTGCTGCAGCTGCACACAAACACATGATACACGCTCGCCGTGGGACGACCTGAGCCGCACCGCCCGCAAGACTTGGGAGGAGACTTCGCAACTATGCGGAGGGCAGCCGACCCGGAAGAAGCAGGAGCCGAGCAAGGCCGCGGAAGCGATGATGTAAGTGTTCTCGGACAATTGATAAACCTGCTGCCTCGCTTCGGTATCCACTGCTGCTGCAGCTAGCAGCCGGTGATTGTTGCTGCCTACGATGGCCATACATCCTTTGAAGTCTCGGGGTTATCTCGGGGTCATCTCTGCTACCCCTGCTACCCCCGCCCCTTTGCGCTAGACTCCGACTGACCGATTCAGAAGGGTGAAAATAGATTTTGAGGGCTACAAGTCGAAGCAGGTGCACAGCCGGCCAGCAGCAGTGGGCCAGCAGCAGTAGGCTACTTCCGCGAACATGCAGATACATGTACGGCCCATTCGCCGAGGCCGTTCCCCGATTAGGCCTGGGCGTTGGTATGGAGTTGGCTAGAATGTATCATTTTCCTCCCGCGGGAGAAGCGCTCATACAAACGACCAAACGGCTCATTTCACGGGCGCGCGTGCGGGTGCGGGTGCATGCAGTCAGCATGTGCCACCCGCCTAGTGTTTCTCATCTCAAAATCTTTGAAAAAGGGAATGCTCACGAGGCAGGGCCGCGGTTCATAGAGGTGCCGACAGGAGGCATAATGGTTGGAGGCAGTCATCCACAGACAAGATGACGGGCAATCTTGCCAGACTACGACTCGCCGAACGTATCAAGGTGCACGCGTTTGGCACATGCCAAATAGCTTGGTTGCTGTATGTACTGTGCATGATGCACCTTTTGCAAGGTAGAACATGCTGAGTGTTGAATGTTTTCCATCCTTCCTCGTTCTTGTCTCTCGTATCATTGGGAAAGAAGGGCGGCACGGGCATGGACGTGAGGGCGTGCGCACAACATTCGGAGCAGGAGGGTCGGGGTGATCAGCAGCAGAGAGCATTCAGTATACATCGTCGGTCAGGAGGACCACGTGGACTGGGTAGTCGTTCTTTCTCGCCTTCACCGAGGGCAATTTGTTTGTCGACCAGCTCTTCAGCTAATTTGGAGGATGGGGGCGGCGGGGGTACGATGAACTCGGGGGCTCCGATGAACCGGGTGGGGAACGGGGCTGCAACCGCTGGTGCTGGTGGTCTTGGTGCGACGCTGTTCGACCCGAGTAGTGGGGGAGTGCACATGGGCGCTGGCGGGTTAGACATGGGACGTGCGCCGGCGGGGCCCCCCGGGTTCTTTGCCTCGGACGTCGATGTGTGGCGCGGGGATGCCGCCTATGTCCCCGCCCAATGTGTCTGCACCCAGAATCGCCCCTCACGCGGGTGTGGGCATGGGCGATAGCGGAATAGACATCGGACATGCCCAGGGTCCCCCGGTTTCTTTGCGTCTGGCGACGACGTGCGGTGCGGAGATGCCTATTTCCCCGGCCAATGTATCTGCATCGAGCATCGCTTCTCACCCGGGTCCGCTCATGGGCGTTGGCGGAGCAGACATGAGAGGGGCGCCGGGGTCCTCGGGTGGTTTTCCTCGGGCGACGATGTGTGGTGCGGGGATGCCGCCTCTGTCCCCGGCCAATGTGTCTGCACCCAGCATCGCCCCTGGCCCGAGGAGGGCTCAGCCGCGTCCGGCCCTTGCAATGCCACAGCTTCTTCCGGTACCTCAGACCACAGTTAGTAGCGGAGGGGTGGGGGGGAAGAGAGCAGCCGCGGAAACACTAGCACATGTGGACCTCATTCCAACCACTGATCATGACAGCGACAATCAGCGACGGACTGACGGCCCCGGCACATCCGCCAGCACATCGACGGGGGGGAGGCGAAAGGGGCAGCTGGCTCAACAAGCCAGCACCTGCCACGGGTGTAGGATCAATAAACCCACGGGCAACGTTAGGCATGCTTGCCAGGGTGGGGACGAGGGTGGTGAGGCGCGGGGATGCAACTATTGGGTGCGCCAGAAGTGTATGGGAAGATGGATGCAAGCGTCTGGACAGCCGAGAGGATTCTGGTGCTGCCTACATTCGGGTAGGGAGTGGTGCCCGTGCGCCGAGAGGTGAGATTACTGTTAAAAGTATTCCCCACACGTCCTTCATACAACACGTGGATGAGACAGCAAAATACAGATGTTGTTAGCCCTTGATAAAGTCAGAGATATCGAGAGACCCAAGCGTTGCGAAAGCAAAAGCCGGAAACATGCAATGATTGAAGCCCCGAACAAATATGGGGCGTACCGTGCAAGTGAAAGGGGCTTGGGCTGTGCGAGATAAGCAAGGGAAGGACGACTTTAAACTGGAAAGTTGCTAGTCTGGCACAGCAGTTCACCCGCGAAATGTTTGCAATCAGCCCTAATTTTCTCTAATGCCGTGCAATGGCACAAATGGCAAGGTTAGCGAATCGACAGTCTTGTCTGATCTATGTTTCGGTGGCCGTCGTGCCCCCTGTCTATCACGCCTCCTGCACGGCCTAAATTAGGATTTCCACGAAGAGGAGCAAGGCAGTTTCGGTGGTGGATCGATCCAGGCTAGCGCAGAATCGTCAGGAGAGCACAGATGTGTACGAGTTCCCGACAACAACCTCATCTCCCACGGCCGCAACGACAGCTGCTTCTCCCACACCACCCTCTGGACCGGGCACGACTTACTCCGTGTGCACATCGAACGGCCAGAACCGCGTCGCCGTGATCAAGGCTGGTGCCCGGTTCTTGTGCTCACGGCCCGATTGCAGACGGTGAGAGATAGACTCAAGAGTTTAGTTACCGTTGCTCCAAGAGTTGTTATGCTCACAGACGGAAACATACGCCGTCGTTGATGGTATTGCTATGAGACATCTTCCTGTTGAATGCCAAGACGAAAACTGCTTCCGCATTGCCGTCCGCCTTGGTACTCGAACGCAAAACGGTCTCACACTCTGCCCCATCACGCCAACATTTCCGCCGCCTTATTCAGAATCGAGGGTCTCAGCTCCGCAGCGACTGGTGACACGGCCTCTGCGCTGCCATCTCGCTGCGCTCATGCAGAAGTCGTCATCGAGGCAGAGAAAACATCTATGCCGATGCCCAAAGCAGATGCTCTTCTCTCGGCGGGCGATTTTGAGAGCGCGTTGGATAAAGTTCCGGCGGGAACTTTCAACCAACGCACGGTGGCATCCATGCGCGCACGCGCTGACCAGGCGGCGAAAGAAGGCCTGCCGTTGCTTGTCCGCGTCGGGAACACGAAGTACTTTGCGGTGAGGGACGGCCAGAAGTTCAACCGCACCGTGATTGGAGAGTGGGGGCACGTGAAGTACGACCAGCGCGGGAGCAAAGTATTCCAGTGCAAGGTGGGTGAAGATTCAGGATAAGTGTGCGGTGGTGTAATGGCAGCAGGGTTGAGGTGCGTCAGGGTACCTCGTTGTGGTTAGGTCAACCGCGGATCCGACAGGAGTGATGACGCTGTTGCACAAAAAGAAGTTGCTTGAGGTGATGAGCCCAAGAGCGCCAACACCAAAAAAGTATACGGCACTGATCGCGTTAATATTGCAGGGCGTGCGACGTAGCATATACCCATTGTGACCGGACTGTGGGAATGGGCATGAAGTATGCGGGCGTGTTTGCCGAATGATGGATCCAAACGCATCCGGAGGTTCCGACACCTTCAGTCCTGGAGACACGACCACTCGTCCCTCCCTCCAGCGCACCTCAAGGCCTGGCTCAATGACTGCTGTTATTTATTTTTCCTCTCGGTCTTTCTATGCTGGCCTTTGATGAAGGCGAGTGACGGGAGCCCGTGCAGCGACGGTGCGTCAAGGAAAAGCACCGGCCGGTGTATTCACGCCGCCATCGTTGCGGTGTACATTTACGACCGGTACAAGTCCGGCGTTGCGGGGGAAGAGCTGGAGCTGGAGCGTGATGGCGACATGGACGGCATGGAGTTCGGGCCAGAGGGGGAGGGGTGGGGGGCTGAAGGCACCATCGGTGGTGACACGGGGTTCGCATCGTACACTCAGGGTGAAAATCCTCTGTATTTCGGAGAAAAAATGGCTCAGCTCAGAGTGATCACGGCTGTCTACAAGTTTCCCGTGGCTGAGCCTGAGCTCAAGCCAGGAACGTACGGGCGCAAAAGGATTCACGTCAACGCATGCTTTTGCACAGGTTGCGGACAGAAGTACCAAGAACTTCCCGACGGCGAAGCAACCCTTCTCGGCCAGGTGGGTCATGGTATGGAGCAGCAGAAGTGGGGTCAACATTGATTTCCTCTGAGAGATGTGTACGCTGCGGCAACGTGGTAGTTCCACTCTGGAAAACAACGGCGTGAAACAGAGGGTAGCTTGGTCAACATTGTCCATGTGATCAGCGAGTATTTGCCTCCTTTATCATCTGTAGTTTTTTAGGGACAGGTCGTTGAAATCCGTCAGGGTTAGGATTGGCTTGTGCGCGGGCAGGAGTAGTGGACCGGCAGCTACATACGACACTGACCATTCATTTGCACCTCTATATTGGTTTTGCAGCGGACAAACGGGGGGGCAGAACTGCGAGTGGTGAAGGTCGAGCGGAAGGGATGCAAGAGGTGCAAGCTGATCGGATGGGCGGGCGACGATATCTATGCGGACGGCGTATTCAACTACAACAACAATGTTGTGCTTGCACTTTCTCTCCTGTACACCATCCGTAGGGCGGTCAGTGCCGATACTCCTGTATCAACCTGGGTGAGGACCTTCCTCAGGCCCCTGCTGGATGACCTGACATGGCTGGACGCCTCGAACGAAAACCGCGCATTGGCTTCACGGTGAGTGATACTCGGCGATTGTGTATTTGTTTGTTGGGGAAATAGGAAGCTGAGTTTCTCGAGCGTTCTCCTGCGGGGACACCTGTCCGGCAAACAGAACTTAGAGGTCGGCTTGTAGACGCTTACGGAATTCTCGAACTCTGCACGCTCTTTGCGTACATATACCAGTTACCCGTCTTCCCGGGCTTGTCGGCAAAAGTATTGGGGGAGAGTACGTACTGGAAGCGTGTCGTGTCTGTGTACCCTCCCCGATGGTCCGGTGGTAACAAGCAATATTGTCGCCTTGCCCGAGCTTTTTCTTGGTTGCCTGCATATATTTTAGCCCGGCTGTGCGTTCATGGGCTGTGGCGAGCGTTGAAAAAAAGCAAATCGATTTGATAAGTTGTGACTTCAGGAAGCGGTTTTTGGGTGGCTGCGGGGGTGGCGGGGAAATATCGGTCTTGGCGCTCCCTTCGGCACGCCACGGAAAAAAAAGTTACTACCTCAATTTTTGTGTCTTCTTGCAAACGGCAAGCTTGTTTTGCTGCAGTGGTACACAGATGCGTAGCAAAACCAATACATCGGCACTCCGATTACGAGAGGAGGTGGTCGGAGTCATGTTTCTGCAGGCGTGCCTGTATTTTCTCGCGAAAAAACAAAACGGGCATTTTGTTTTTACGGCCTAACCGACTTGATAATCGCATTGCCGGGCCGGTAGGAGGACGACTTTGACAAACTAAGGTTTTGCGTGCTGCTGTGTTGTGTTGAGCACGTTCGTATCCAAAATTTCCGCAATTTTTGTGCGTTCCGTAAAAATGGTGCGTGTTTTGGGTGGAGGAAGGCATGTTGACGCCG